ACTCCTAGCAAGGCAGCAGCAGTGAGCCGCGCTGCAGCAAAGTCTTCTCTCTCTCGCCCCCCAATGCAGGCTCACCAGTCTGCTGCCACTCCTGCTGCTGCTGCTGCTGCTGCTGCTGCTGCTGCTGTTGCACAGAAGCAAGCCCCCCGCAAACGGCTGCGGCGGCTACTCACCAGCAGCAGCAGCAGCAGCAGCAGCAGCAGCAGCGGCAGCAGCAGCGGATCGGAAGATGAACAGATCCCGAAGCAGCAGGAACAAAACGCTCGCCAGCAGCAGCAGAAGCAGCAGCAGCAGCAGCAACAACAACAAAAGTCGCAGCAGCAGCAACAGCAGCAGCAGCAGCAACAGCAGCAGAAAAAAGAGCAGCAACAACAGCAGCAACAGAAACCACAGCCGCAACAGCAACAACAGGAGGAACAACAACAGCAGCAGGAACTGCAGCAGAAACAGCAGCAGCAGCAACAGCAGCAGCAGCAGCAGCAACAGCAGCAGCAGCAGCAGGAGCCTCGGAGGCAGCAGCCAGCAGCAGCAAAGGCTTCACCCAAAGTGCCCAAGCTGATGGCTGCTGCACGGAGGGCCCCTGCTGTGTCTTCTGCTGCAGCAGCAGCAGCAGCAGCAGCAACAGATGCTGCTTCGCCGTTTCGTGTTGCTGCTGACAAGGCTGCTGCTGCTGCTGCTACAGCAGCAGCAACAGCAGCAGCAGCAGCAGCAGCGCCTGAAGCACCGACAAAGACAACGGCTGCAGCACAAGAAGCAGCAGCAGCAGGCCCCATAGAAAAAACAGCAGCAGCAGCAGCAACAGCAGCGGAAGCAGAAGCACCAACAGCAACAGAAGCAGCAGATGCTGGAGAAGCAGCAGCAGCAGCAGCAGCAGCAAAGCAGCAGCAGCAGGCTGAACGCCGCAGGCGGAAGCGAGCTGATGAGACACCAGGGCGAGCAGAGGAGGAGTCTGAAGCAGCAGCAGCAGCAGAAGCAGCAGCAGCAGCAGAAGCAGCAGCAGCAGCAGCAACAGCAACAGCAGCAGCAGGAGAAGAAGCAGAAGCAGCAGCAGCAGCAGCAGCAGCAGCGGGAGACAAGGCAGCAAGCAGAGGAGCAGCAAGACGATGGAGAGGGGCTAAAAGAGGGAGAAGGGGAAGGGCCCCGGGGGCCCCGGGGGCCCCCGGGGCCCCCCTTCGGGTGTCTCCGCGGCTAGCGGGAGAAACCCCTATCCTAGGGTTTGGTATGTGGGCCCCCCCCAACTGGTACAGTTCTCAGCCAGCAGCAGCAGCAGCAGCAGCAGCAGCAGGAGGAGCAGCGGGAGGAGGAGCAGCGGGAGGAGGAGGAGCAGCAGCAGCAGGAACACCTGCTGCTGCTGCTGCTGCTGCTGCTGCTGCTGCTCCACAGGGTGAAGCCCCGCTGGATAACTCGCATGCAGAGACAGCCTGGATTGATGCCAGCAGCACCAGCAGCAGCAGCAGCAGCGGCAGCAGCGACAGCAGCAGCAGCAGCAGCAGCAGCATGCTTTCTGCTGATCCACACAGTAAACAGCAAACTGAGGGGGGTACCCGGGGGGCCCCTGCAGAGGCCCTGGGGGCCCCTGAGCCTCCTGGGGGGCCCCCAAGCAGCGCTGCCACCATGCCTGCTGCTGCTGCTGCTGCAGCAGCAGAAGCAGCAGCAGCAGAAGGAACAGCAGCAGCAGCAGACAGCAAAGCAGCTGAAAGAGGAAGGAGCCGCAGCTCCGACGCCCCGCCTTCAGGTACGAGCGAACAGCAGCAGCAGCAGCAGCAGCAACAGCAGCAGCAGCATTAGCAGCAGCAGCAGCAACACCAACCCCAACAGCAGCAGCAGCAGCAGCAACAGCATCTGGATTTGCATGCGTTTGTGCTTCTGCTGCAGGTGGGGCTGCAAGGCGGCGCCGTGGGGGCCTCAGCCGCAGGGCGAGCGAAACTATAGACAGCAGCAGCAGCAGCAGCAGCAGCAACAGCAGCAGCAGCAGCAGCAGCAGCAGTACAGATGACAGCAGCAGCAGCGGCAGTGCAGATAGCAGCAGCACCAGCAGCAGCACCAGCAGCAGCAGTAGTAGTAGTAGCTGCAGTACAGATAGCAGCAGCAGCAGCTGCAGCAGCGCAGAAAGCAGCAGCAGCAGCAGCAGCAGCAGCAGCAGCAGCAAGGCTCTGACAGCTGCTCCTTTGATAGCTGCTGCTGAAGCCCAGCCCCCCTGCAGCAGCATTAACGATGGTGATACAGATACAGCGAGGGGGGCCCCCCACCAGCTGGAGGGGGCCCCCCCTGCCTCTCTAAGCAGCTCTGGGGGGCCCCCCCAGGGGGCCCCCCCTTCTCGCCGAGGGGTACGGGGGCGTCCCCGCCTGAGGGGAGTAGGGGGGGCCCCCAGGGGGTCAGGGGGGCCCCCGCGAGGAGGAGGGGGGGCCCCTAGAGGAGGGGGGGGGGCCCCCAAAGGAGCAGGGGGGGGGGCCCCCAAGGCAGCAGCGGGGGGGGCCCCCAAAGCAGGCGGGGCGCAGCCTGTCTCCTCCCCTGGAGGGGTACGGCGCTCGCAGCGGTTTGCTTCTGCTGCTGGTGAAGCAGAAGAAACGTAATCAATCCCTGCTGCTGCTGCTGCTGCTGCTGCTGCTGCTGCTTTTCCAGCAGGAGCTGCAGCAGGAGCTGCACCAGCTGCAGCAGGAGCTGCAGCAGCGGCAACTGCAGCAGCAGCAGGAGCTGCAGCAGCTGCAGCAGCAGCAGCAGCAGCGGAGGGTAGTTTTGCCCTCTGCTGCTGAAGCCGTAAAGGGATGGGTGGGGTTGTGTGTTTATAGTTTATATGTCTCCTTATATTTCAATATATTATATAAACTGTCTCCTTTTGGGGTTTCTCCTTTCTAGGGGTTTAGGTCTCCTTCGCTGTGATAGTATAAAAGGAGACAGAAAAGGAGACAGTTGCTTAGAGAGACAAAAAAGGAGACAGTTGCTTATAGCGGGGAGAGAGAGAGGAGACAGTTTCTTATAGAGACAAAAAAGGAGACAGTTGTTTATAGCGGGGAGGGAGGAGACGGTTGCTTGTAGAGAAAGAAAAGGAGACAGTTGCTTGTAGAGAAAGAAAAGGGGACAGTTGTTTATAGAGACAAAAAAGGGGACAGTTGTTTAGAGAGAAAGAAAAGGAGACAGTTGCTTATAGAGACAAAAAAGGAGACAGTTGCTTATAGCGGGGAGAGAGGAGACAGTTGTTTATAGAGAAAGAAAAGGAGACAGTTGCTTATAGAGAAAAGGAGACAGTTGTTTATAGAGACAAAAAAGGAGACAGTTGTTTAGAGAGAAAGAAAAGGAGACAGTTGCTTATAGACATAAGAGGAGACAGTTGCTTATAGAAAAGAGAAAGGAGACAGTTGTTTATAGAGACAGAAAAGGAGACAGTAAAAAGGAGACAGTTGCTTATAGAGAAAGAAAAGGAGACAGTTGCTTATAGAGACAAAAAAGGAGACAGAAAGATCTCTCCCTCTGTGTGTAGAGACAAAAGGAGACAGTTACAAACAAAGTAGGTGTGTTTATACATATAATATATATATAAATACATATTTATATATATAAAAAAAAAATATATATATATATATATAAGCATATATACATATATATATATATATATATATATATATATATATAGCGGGGAGAAGCACATATATATATATAT